AGTCTGCAGAGTGTGCTGGTCTGGTTGTACAGAGTATAAGATGGGAGTATGGGGAATGCAAGTGAAAAAGAGGCACACCTTTTTATTATTCTACTGTTTCCAACCTCCAGCTTGCTTCTACTTCAGTACAGGGAAGAAGCATATTTGTGGATAATGATATGTTTTCAGGTATTCTAATAGTAATAATTAGTGTTTAAAGTTATGAGATGGCAGATCAGCTCAGCAATGTGCAGTACATTCTACATGTGAAGACATGAATGCACCAAGTTTCCCAGGTGAGTGCATTTGCAGGAAATGTTGCTTGCTGTACATGCTTGAGCTGTGTTTCAGAACTTGAGCAGCGGCTTCAGCCACTTGTATATCTGTGAGGCAATGTGCTACGCACATAGCATGTTTAGGGAGATGGTCGCACCATCACATAATTGGTTGGATCAACAGTCTTACAATCAGCAAAAGGAGACCGAGAACCAGCTGCAAAGTTTTACATCAACTGATCTTAAAATACCTAAATCAAGCATCTCTGCAGGATAACATGATTATACTTACTCCTTCCTGTTCACAAAACAATAAGAACTACTTTCAGTGTGGTGAAGATCTCTCACAGGACACTATTGTAAAAGCTTTACTATTTTAGTTAAACTATATAGGCAGTGAGAGAATGGATAACCAGGCAGGCAGTGAAGAGGTCCTTTGAAACTGTCTTGCTTACAAATCAATTTTCATTTTGGATACTGGTGAGGGTGATGGCTTATTAGTTGAGTGCAGCCAGTGCCAAGTTGGTGGCACCACAGGTGTGTCTACTATGCAAAGGGGAAGAAGAAGAATGGAAGTGCAGTCATGATAGCAGTTTCCATAGTCACGATCAGACAGGCATTTGTTCAGCTCATTGACATGACTCTGGATGGTATGTTGCTGTTCTTGTGCCAGGCTAAAGGATGTTATGGAGTGGCTGCAGGACCTGGGAGAAAGTGATCAGCCAGAGCTTCTGGTCCACATTGATGCTAGTGACTTGAGTAAGAATGAGGATGAGGTCCTGAAAGATTATTTCAGGAAGTGAGGTAGGCGATTGAAAGGTAGCATCTCTAGAGCAGTATTCTCAAGATTACTCCTAGTTCCATGTGCTAATGAGTTTAGACTTGGAAGAATTGTTGAATGTGACTGAAAAGCTGGTGTAGAAGGTAATATCAGATTTACCGGTAATGGAAGGATTTTGAAGAAACTGAGATCTGTACACATCCAAACATCCTACACTCAAAAAGAACAGAAATATCTTTGCAGAGAGATTTGCTGATGCTGTTGGGGAAGGTTTAAATTAGATTTACTAGGAGGTAGAACTGTAAGGGCAAAATCAGAGCAGAATCAGGATACTGAAATCTAGTGACTGACTGTGAAAGAGGAAGGAAAGATTTTAAAATTGTACAAACTGAAAATTGGCAGCATTAAAAGATATAAATGTACACAAAAGGAATGTAGTGAAGAAACTCAATGATGAGGGCACAGATAGAGACATGGAATATATATAATTGCTGTAACAGAAACTTGTCTTTAAATATGGGCAAAAATGATAGCTGAATATCGACCCATTAGGCAAGATAGGGAAGGGAATTTAAAAAGGGCAGCATTACTGGTGAAAGGATCAATCACAGCTGTGAGGAGGGACGGTATACTAACCGAACCATCAGATGAAGTGAAATGGGGATGACTTTAGAAACAGAAAGGGGCAGCCACATTGCTCAATGGGTAGCACATTCGTGGGCAAAATTTAGCGGAGCAGATTTACCAATGAATTTCTGAGTGCAAAAACAGTAGGGCAATAGCAACTGCAGACTTAACTACCCAAGTATCTATTAGGATACAAACAGTTTGAAAGACACTGGACGCAAAATATTTGAATTGCTTCTAAGAGAACTTCTGTCAGCCAGCCTGTAACAAGCTCAATGGAGGGTGCAATTCTACATAAAGTCTGAGGAAATGAAGCTGAGATGAAATAGTATTGGGTGACTATTTTGATAGTGATCATAATACAGTTAGATTAGCAACATTGTGGAAAGGGACAAAGAGCAGAAGTAAAAGTTCTAAATTGGGAAAAGGCTGACTTTACAAAGCTGAGACATGAAAAGAACTGGTTGCAGCTACTTGAAGGAAAATCAAAATCAAATCAGTGAGATACTGAAAAGGAGTTTCAACTGGCATGGAGTAGACATGTCCCCACAAAGAAAAGTGATGATAATTTCAAATCTTAGAGTCCAACTGCTAATTCAGAAATATACAAGGTAAGACAAAGCAGGATAATTATATACCACTAGGGCCAGATGAATTGTGTCCTAGGCTGTTTGAAGAAAACCAATGAGGAAAGAGTGATGCCTTGAGGATTATTTTTCAATCTTCACAAGATATAGGCAAGGAAGCACAAGATTGCAGGACTGTGAATGTTGTACAATTATTCAAAACGGATGCAAGAGCTCAGCCAAGTAATATAGTTGAGTCAGTATGACCTTGATGAGCACGTTACTGAATCAAGAATTAACTGTGACTTTGAAAGGCACAGATTAATCTGTTAGTCAACATGGTTTTGTTAAGGGAAGGTCATGTCTTACTAACTTAATTGAGTTCTATGAGGAATTAACAAGGAGGATTGATGACGGTAGTACAGTTGGGTGCTGTCTTTTTGGATTTTGGCAGGGAATTGACAGGGCCCAACTGTTAGGAAAATCAAAGTCCATAGGATACAGGAGAATGTGACAAATTGGATCCAAAATTGACTGTGACAGGAAATAGTGTTTGTAGATGGATGTTTTACGAATGGAAAGTGGGTTCTAGTGATGTTCTATAGGGCTCAGTATCGGGTCAGTTCCTCATTGTGGTTTAAATCAATGATTTTATACTTAAATGTATAAGGCATGATTGGGGAAGTGTGCAGATACCACAAAAATTGGTGTGAAGAGGATAACTGTTGACTGCAGGATTCTTTCAATAGTTCGATTGAGTGGGCAGAAAAATATCAAATCAAATTTATTCCAGAGAATTGTGGGCTTGTGCATGTATGTTTTGTGTATAGTTCTGGTCATTACATTACAAGAAAGACAATGTCAGTCTCACTGTGTCTCTAGAGAGAGTATACAGAGGAGATGTACAAGAACGTTGTCAGATTTAAATTTGCAGCTATGAGTAAAGATGGGATAGGCTATGGTTGTTTTCCTTAGAACAGAGGAGACAGAGAGGTGTATGTAATTTTGAAGGGCTTGGATACTGTGCAGAGCAAAGACATGTTTCCCTTCATGAACAGAGGGAAATTTACAGGGGGCATGGGTTTAAAATGACTGGTAAAAGAATTAGAGGGGATGTGAGGAAAAACTTTTTCACCCAGAGGGTGGTGGGTGTTTGGAATTCGCTGCCTAGTTCAGTGGTTGAGTAAACCTTCAACTCACTTAAAAGGAATCCAGATCTGCACCTGAAACATTGTAACCTACAAAACTATAGACCAGTACTAGAAAGTAGGATTCAAATGGAGTAGATAGCTAGTTTATTCAACAGCCATAGACATGTTTGAGCTAAATGACCTCTTTCTGTTCTGTAACTTCTCTCTTTCTGCTTTTTTGGTAATGAGTAACAGTTGGTTGAAGATGTTTCTACTTAACAGTAGAATCATGAGTAGATCATGCAACCCGCTAGATCCTATAATTTGGTCATGGCTGATCTTCTGCTTTAATTCCACTTTCTCACCTATTTGCCATGTCCCTTGATTTTCCCTAGACCAAAATTCTTATCCATTTTCGTCTTGGATAAATTCCATGTAGTGAAGCAACTGAACCCTCCAAGGACAGAAAATGCTGAAATTTCACAAGCTGACAGTGAAATGTTTGTCCTCATCTCAGTTTGAAATAATTGCCCCATCCCTCCACTTAGAACATAGAACACTGCAGCACAGGAACAGGCCCTTTGGCTCACTATGTCTGTGCCAACCATTCTAAACTAATCCCATCTGCCTGTTCTTGGTCTGTTTCCCTCTATTCCCTGCCTGTTCATGTGTCTTCGAAAAGCCTCTTAAACTTGGCTAACATATCTGCTCCTACAGCCTCCCTTGGCAGTGTGTTCCAGACACCTACCATCCTCTGTTCAAAAACAACTTTGTTCACACATCAACCTTAAACTTTCCCCCCTCACCTTAAACTCATGAGCCATTAGTATTTGAGATAGTAGGAACTGCAGATGCTGGAGAATCTGAGACGACAAGGTGCAGAGCTGGATGAACACAGCAGGCTAAGCAGCATTGTAGGAGCAGGAAGGCTGACGTTTCGGGCCTAGATCCTTCATCAGAAAATGAAGGATTTTCTGATGAAGGGTCTAGGCCTGAAACGTCAGCCTTCCTGCTCCTACGATGCTGGTTGGCCTGCTGTGTTCATCCAGCTCTGCACCTTGTCTCAGCCATTAGTATTTGACATTTTCATACTGGGAAAGCCTTCAACTATCCACGCCTGTCATTTTATGTACTCAGCTCACTTCTCGACCTCCGATGCTGTAGAGAAAATAATCTAAGTTTGTCCAACCTCTCCCGATAGCTAATACACTCCAATCCAGACACTATCCTGGTAAACCTCTTGTGTAACTTCTACAAAGTCTCCACATTCTTCCTATTGTGTGGCGACCAGATACACCAAACGTGGCCTAACTAAAGTCTTATACAGCCTGAGACTCTTTCCCGAGCCAAGAGAAACAATCTGTCTGCATCTACCCCGTCCAAGACCCCTTCAGAATCTTTTAATGTTTCGAGTAGCTCATGTCTTATTATTCTAAACTCCAGACAGCAGGCTGAATATATTCACTCTTTTTTACCTTGGAGTAAGCACTCTCAGACCATGGACCGTTCTGTGAATCTTTGCTCTACCACCTCTAAAGCAAGCATATACTTCCTTATCTGTGAAGACCAAAATTTCACATGGTACTCCAGATGTGATCTCACCAAAGCTTTGTATAATTGTAACAAGGTCGTCTTATTCTGTACACCAATCTCAGATTGTAAGATCAGGATGAGTATAACCTTGTTCCTCTGACCATTCCCTTTTAAAACTTCATGACTTTTTAAAAATAAATATTGGTTTTGTTTAATCAGCATTAAAAATAAACAAACTCATGCACCCTGCATTTTACTCCAGTCTACTACCTTGTTACTGACTCTTTTCAGTTTATACCTCTTTGCAGTCTGCCTTTTACTTCCCAATTGCATTCCCACCTAGGCCTGTGTTAGCTTAACCTTACCTACACCTATTGATTATGTTACCGCTAATAGCTATGCCAAAGAATATTATTTGACAGGGTGAGTGGCATCTTGTACTGAGACAGGAGGAAGTAATTTCATCTGTGCTTAAAGTTTCATATTTTTCTTTAAAAATGCATTCTACCACTGCTAATTGGAGTAAACATTCTATCTTTGCTATACATGCCACACCATATAACAGATCAAAACATTTGTAACTTATAGGAGTTTTAAAAACTTATTTTTGAAGAAAGCATGTTATGAAATCCCAAACCTCTGGAAGCACCACTAGAGAAAACATGTTTTTAAAAGTGGTTGTTGCTGCATGTGCCAATTTGACAGAGACTTTGTAGAGGGCAAGATCTTTCTCACATCGATTGGAAGAATGTCAAGTTAGTTTATTACAGAGAGTTCTAATTGTGGCATGGTTTAGGATTGGAAAATTCCTGCATCTGTTCAGGTAACAATGTTGGGGTGAACAGGAATGTTTTAAAATTAATATCATTCTGTAGGTTAACATATCCTCAACTACACTGGCATTTTATTCTGTATTATGTACTTAATCCTGTGGTTAGTGCAAACTGTGTAAATATGCTCAAACCGGAAAAGCAGATCACCTTCCTGGAAGAAGTTCTTTCCAGGTTCACTGTTGTCCAAATCAGAATGATAATTACTCTGAAGTTTGTTCTCTTTTCTTGCTTGATTCATTCTAAAAGCAGGCCAGCATGATATACGTGAGTTGTTTTCTCTAACTTGCTTTTTTCTGACTTGCTAAGTTTGCTTCACATTGACATTTCCATAGCCACGGAGGTGCAGAACCTGAACCCAAGTAAAATCCAAGTCTTGGACATACCAATAAGATTACTTCTTTGCAGCTTTTTGATTTTTTTTTTTCTGCAGGATGATAGGTACTTCTTAAGTGGATCACTTGATGGTAAACTCCGTTTGTGGAATATTCCTGACAAGAAGGTAGCATTGTGGAATGAAATTGATGGGCAAACAAAACTAATAACAGCAGCAAACTTCTGCCAAAATGGCAAATATGCAGTAATTGGAACCTATGATGGCAGATGCATCTTCTATGACACAGAGGTAATGCTAGCTCATTGGACAAGATGGATTTCGTTTCAGTCTTTGAATTGGCTTCCATCTACATTTTACCGTGTTACTGTGGTGTGATTCTTGAGGAAAACTTGATGTATCTTTGTTTTGTATGGACTACAGTTTTGAAAGGCTACTCTTGCTGAAAAATTCACAATCAATTTCTGTTTTAATAACATTCCTTAAAAGCTGTATGTACTCTTTCCCTCCCCAGCATTTGAAGTACCACACTCAGATACATGTGCGCTCAACCAGAGGGAGAAACCGAGTTGGAAGAAAAATCACAGGCATTGAACCATTACCTGGTGAAAATAAGGTGGGTATGTGTGTTGGACAACAGGGTGCAACAACTTGTGTTTCAATAACAGTATACATCTTAACATTTTGAACTCTTGAATTCAGATCCTTGTGACCTCCAATGATTCAAGAATTCGCCTGTATGACCTGAGAGATTTGTCAATTTCAATGAAATATAAAGGCTATGTTAATAGCAGTAGCCAAATCAAAGCAAGTTTTAGGTAAGTGTGTGAATTTCTTTATGATTTAGTATCACAGTTATAGTTTCTGCTGCATCTCCTAGTCAAGACAGTCCAGTTGTCACATGGATAACCAATGCTGCTTTCTCAAAATTGGTGTAAACTTAACGTTAATTATTAGTAAACCAAATTCCTAAGTTCCGACTTGAGTTTCTTTTTATGTGATGCTTGTTCATATTGCAAAACACAGTCGAAATGCAGGCAATATTCTGTGGGACAGTTGTGCAGATTTGGGGCCCATTTTCTTACTGGCTTTAGAAAACTTTAGCCTGAAAACAAAAGGAATAACACTTGTGTCTGAGTGTGTATACACCTCTCCCAAAGTGAATGCTTTCTCCAATTATATTTCATTGTGTGGCTTGGTAATGAGTTGTATGAAATACGGCACCGCTAGGAGTGATGGCAGCCATGCATTTTTACAAGTATCATTCTGGAGTAAAAATGTACCCATATTTAACACGCAGGACTCTCAACTTGCTCAGTAATACAGTAAAGTAGCTAGTTCCACCAACTATTTCCACTACTTTGAATTAGTCTGCTTCTGCTGATGCCTCAGCTACCTACTGAAACTTTCCTTTGTGCATTAGTTTCCTCTGATCTCAATTGCTGCAGTGATCTCCTTATCAGCCTGATACCTTCACTGTCCAGAAATTCAAACTTGTTCAAAATCCAAAGCCTAAGCTGCTTCAGGTGGCAAAGTAGATTATTGCCTATTCCAGACATCAGAAATAGAAATAGCAAATGCTGGAAATTCTCAGCAAGTCAAGCAACATCTATGGAGAAAGTAACAGGTGCTGTTTAAGTCTACAATTTTTTACTCGGAACACTAAAGGTTTGCATATCATGCTTATTCTTACTGATAGTGGCTCCTGGTTTCTTAGCATCTCCAATTTTAAATTTCTATTCCCTTCAAATTTCTTCACTGCCTTCATCTCACGTCGTACCACTTGCAATTATATATTACCCACCAAATATGGTCTCTCCATTCCTCTACTCATAAAGTCATACAGCACAGAAACAGACTCTTCGGCCCAACTCATCAATGCCGATCAGACATCCCAATCTGACCTGGTCCCATTTGTCAGCATTTGGCCCGTATCCCTCTAAACCCTTGCTATTCGGATATCCATCCAGATATCTTGTGCATTCCTGTGCTTTTAGTTGCCTTTGTCTCCCTTTCTGAATTTTGCTATTGAGACCACTCAAATCTTGTTCTTGAAGACCCAGTTATTGTGACCAAGATTTCAGTAACTGCTTCCTATCTTCCCTTCATCTTGACATCAGTTTTCTTCATGCCTCTCTGAAGTGCTTTGGGTTGCCTTTCTTTAAGGGCTTTAGTGTAACTAAAACTTAGTTATTTTCTGACTTGAGTCCTAGTTTGGACCTCCTAAGGTACATTTCCATCGAAACTGTTGACAACTTAGTCATGCTTTCACTCTGGATATTATTGCGTAAATGGGGAGGTGGGAGAAAGGGATAAAATATTCTTGTGAAAACTGTAAATTATTAATTAAGCTTTTCCAATTTACTCTTGGTGCCATGGATAGCTTGTATTTAGACAGTATTCTTGTTCAGAAGCTTGCTTTGGACTTGACCAACCAATTGTTCCTTTTGTGTTCCATATTATCTGGTGATTAAAGCAACATTGCAGTTTGATTTCCTCCTCAATTACATCCATAGATGCAATTTTCAAAGGATACCAAAGAATATTTCCACAGATCTGTTCTCTGCCCACTTCATTCCATTGTAGGCTGTAAAGAGCAGCCAACTTGTTGTGCAAGTTTTTTTTTGGCACCTCTAGTTGACAGTAGGCCTTATACACTCAATTTTACTACGTAGAGTTGACTTTCACTTGGGAGAGACGTTATAGCACTGATTTGCATTTGGGTTATAATGAGGGAAGGAAGGATTTCTTTATACATTTGCTGCTCCACTGATCCTTCTGATTCTAGCCCAGTTATTTACCAGTGGGCTGATCCTGCCAGGAAACTGGGAGGAACCCAGCTGATAAATGGGAATGGTGGAGTTGAGTAGCGCAACTGTAGATGAGATTGTGCTTCCTGTAATAGTTTACCCTTGTTTGAACCGTGCTGATTAAACTAAGGTTAATGCAAGTTATCTTTGCTAACTGGAAATCATTCAACCTGATTCTTGTGCTTTGTAGTTGTATTTAATGCTGCATTGTTAATATGATTTTAAATTATTCTTCCAATCACTTCTCTCGCCATGTGTATTCGAGACTTTTACATGCTTTGTGATTTTATTTCTTTTTAGTCATGATTACACTTATATAATAAGTGGATCTGAAGATCGATACTTATACATTTGGAGCACTTACCATGATGTCAGCAAGTTTACTTCAGTGAGAAGAGATCGCAATGATTTTTGGGAAGGGATTAAAGGTAACTCATCCATTAAGCTGGTAATTCCATAATGATGCATCATACAAAACAGTTTTGAATTTCTCTATTTAAGCCTCTAAATAAGAGTGACTCATTCATTAAAGAAATCAATGCTTTTTTAAAATCACTCAAAAAAAGGGACATTAATGAAAACCATTTAAAAAATTATCTTGGAGCCAATAATCAAAACCTCTGCTTTAAATAATCAGCTCCAGCTTTCAAAACTGAAATTTACAAAGGATAATGGTTGTCTTTTGGGATCATATTGTAAAATCTTTCCTTTTAAACAATAATTGGCACTGAAGTTAAGCAACTCCCTTGAATTATTATCATTAGTGAGCAAAGTCATTAATTCAATTCTGATGAAGAGTCATCAGCCTCAAAACATTAAATCTGCTTTCTCTCCACAGATGCTGCCAGACCTACTGAGTTTCTCCAATTTTTGTTTTTGTTTCCAATGTCCAGCATCCGCAGTTCTTTGTTTGACATGAATTCAGGGCTGCTGTTCTGCTTAGAATATTACTAAGTTTTTGTTTGTTCTGAGAGGCTCAGCACACCTTTCAAATCACTGTTTTGATATAAGCACCCCTTCAAACATTAAAATAAGGCAGTAAAACAAGCCAAAGAATTAGATACTGATCATTAATTGGGTTTGGTGTGAAGAAGATAAAAATTAGTTAGAAACAGTGCATGTAATTTTGTTTGTTTAAAACAGTGTTTGAGTATGTTTTGTTAGTAGCTTCAGCAGCATACATTTCTGAAAACGTTTGCCTGTTTTAGACTTCTAGGTGTATACTGAATTTAACCTACAACACTGCTTCCTTTGAAGCAATATTTGTGATAAAACTGGGCTTCCTTGCTACTGACACTACACAAATTATTGAGATGAACAGATCAATGGAGATTCTTCCTTGACAACAGTGTGGAAGCTGCATTCTTAACCTTGACCAAATAACCACAGACGGTGAACTGAGCTCAGTGGCTGTGGACCAGTCTGATTCTATTAAAAATATTCCAGAAAATTCTGTCCTGTGGCTATTTCCTTCATTCCCTTGCGGATGTCGTTAGTGGATTATGTCTATCTGTTGGATATCAGACAGAAGTCTTGTTCATCAGATGATCTGATTATATGCTTTAATTTGTAAGAGTAGATCCCAGCAATAACGGTTTGACCTTCATCTATTCAATCTGGATAGATCAACCATATGAATAAAATTGTCTCAGTGCAGCTACTGGTGTTCAAGGCATTAACTTTTTTTCTGGCTGGAGGTCTGTTACTAGTAGTGTTCCACAGGGATCCATACTGGGACCTCTACTGTTTTTGATACGTATAAATGACTTGAATGAAAATGTAGAAGGGTGGGTTAGTAAGTTTGCAGGTGATATAACGATCAGTGGAGTTGTGGATAGTGTAGAACTTTGTCAAAGCATACAGATCAGTTGCAAATATGTGCAGAGAATTGCATTTTAATCTGGCTTAAGTGTGAGGTGCTGCTCTTTGGGAAGTCAAATATTGAGGAAAACTATACAATTAATGGCATGACCCTGAACAGCATTGATATATAGACAGATCTTGGGGTTCAAATCCAGGGTTAGTGGGGGGTTTAAGGGATTTCTAGATAACCACATGGATATGCAAGGGATGGAAGGATATGGACCAAGACCAGGCAGAAGGGATTAGTTTAATTTGGCGTCATATTCGGCACAACATCATGGGCTGAAGGGCCCATTCCTGTGCTGCACAGTTCTGTTTTAACTGCTTTCTCATCAGCTTGATGTATATTTGTGATAATGTTTATATATTATGCTTCATAGTTCTACTCAGAGAAAGCAATTCTCATTTCAGGAAGTTGGAATTGGTTTAAACATTGAATTGCTGACCTGCAGAATGAAATTATTTACTTATATTTAAACACACCTTTGCTGCCTCTGTTCACTATCAAACTTCTTCAATTCCATTCCTATTTAATACCCAAATCATTACAGGACACAACAAGGTCATTCATGTGCCATCTGTCTGAAGCAATAAAATCTGTCTCTGTAGCTCTGTGTGTCTGTGTCTGTCTGTGTCTGTCTGTCTGTGTCTGTCTGTCTGTGTCTGTCTGTCTGTGTCTGTTTGTGTCTGTCTGTGTCTGTCTGTCTGTGTCTGTCTGTCTGTGTCTGTCTGTCTGTGTCTGTCTGTGTGTGTCTGTGTGTGTCTGTCTGTGTGTGTCTGTCTGTGTGTCTGTGTCTGTCTGTCTGTCTGTGTCTGTCTGTCTGTGTCACCTTGTCGAGGTATCTCTGTGTCACTTATTCTATTAGTCACACCTTCGCGCTCTGAAGCCAAAGTACTTCTCCACTGAATGTCTGTTGAAAACAATACGAATCCAATAACAATTCTTTTTAACCTCCGTTGATCTCAAGTTGCTTCATGATACTTTAAGCATTGCCAAATATGAAACCTTGCTCAAATAGGTTAGTGCCATTAATTCTACAGTTAATTATAACCTCCCTTTTCTTACATGAAGCACATAATGCAGTTGTCACTTCAGCAATATTTGCGCCAAATCCAAGTCTGATGCTGTCTGATGCCCCACCGTCAGAAAAAGCAGAGGGTGATGGTGTGACTATTGATACGGATCATATACCTTCTGGTAAGTTATCTACTTGTTCAGATATTGTAAACTGTAGAGTGTCATAGATTAGTAAATAATGTACTTTTGTATAAGTATTATTGCCTAATTGGAGAGTTTTTGTAATGATGTCACATTATTTACGCTGGAGAAAATAGGAACAACTGATTACACCAGCAGGATTAATTCACAGGGATTTGATTTCTGTTCAGGAATACAAGGCTTGTTCTTGATTCTGAGCTGGCTTCCTGACCAGATGAATTTTGTTGGCATTTCTGCAGAGTTGTATGTTTTGGCCCATTCTTAAAAATAGGTGTGTGTTATGTGGCTTTGCACGATAGGAGGAGGTCATGCCAATGAGTTCAGCTCCACAGAAATCAAACTAATTTAACAGACTTAAAGGCATCTGCAAAAGAGATGAATTCAGAGAGCTCACTTTAAATGGGAAATAAGGTAGAATGTAGTCATAGACAGTCCTTGAGAAGGGTGGAATTGGTGGTGGTAGGTAAGGAAAACTTTTGTATATTTTAAGGAACAACTTTTCCAATTGTGTAATGGATGAGTAGCAGCTGGTGCATTCTGTTAAGATTTGCGCATATAAAATACTGTACACAATCTCTCACTAATCTCTCTTTTGTATCAGGTGCATTGAAATCTGATATTACTGAAGTACTCTTGTCTGCTGATTTCACTGGAGCGATCAAAGTTTTCATCTGTAAAAAGAAGAACTAATCGCTTTATGGTAGCATATTGAAACCCAATTTGAATGTGGTACCTTATTTGTTGAAAACACATGGGTTTTTAATTGCCATTGGATTGAAGCAGAAATCAAAGTATTCCAATGGCAGACAATGCTATTCACTTTTTGAACCTCAGTATTTAACAGAGTTGGATGTTGGAGAATTGATTTGATAGCAAGCCATATGGTTGTTAATTGTGGAAGCTGCAGAAATAATTGTAAATATCCTTTGGAAGTTAAAGGCAGAAAACTAGTCCGTTAAGTTCCTCTTTGTCCAAGTACAGTATTGTAATGTTTATGTATTGAAGTTGTAGATATGTGCGGGTTCTGGTCTGGGAATCAGTTATTAGGTTTTCTGCTTCAAAGAATGTAAATTTATTCCATAGCTCATTGTGTGCCTTGTAAGAGCTGATTAAAAATGATTCTGGCAGAACTGTGCAGCCATATTGATGGCAGACTGCACATACTAATACTGAATGCTGTATGAGGCCATTCTGTTCATTGGGGCTGAACTGGTGGAAAAAAAAAGTACTGTATGCATTCACATAAGTAGAACTAGGAAGTTCCATTTTAGAAACTGATGCCAAGTCAAACTAATCACTTGGAAGAACAACTTTGTTCCATTTGCGGCACTTGATTTGAGGGTGGTGGGGAAAAAGTTTGGACAAGCTGTTGTAAAACTTAAGTTGCATTCTTTTCAGAGTGCAAAGAGACTGATAATCTGGCGACATTTTTTCCTTTATTTGTATGTTCAATTATCGCAGTTTCCTTTTTTACTTCGTGTACCACTTTACAGATGTCAGAATTTACTTTTGTTTTTGCCAATTGTTATTTTACTAGAACTGGGCAGAATGAATCTTTGACTGACCTTTTACTATATTGTGTCGTATTTTGATCACTTGATGTCAAACTAGTGTGTATATTGAAGTCTTGAATTGGAATTTTGTGGTAAATATTGTCAAGAAAATGTGTACTATTGCAACACAAGGCTGTCAAATAAGAAAGTCTGTGTAAATAAGACAATTCTGTACCAATGAAATAACATTTCTGGATCTACGGTGCTAGAAAATGTTGTTGATGGTTTTAAAAGTCTGAAATAAGCAGAATTTATAAATAAAGGTTGCTCCAAAAAGTTGTGTTCTCTTTAAACATTTAATAATCACACAAGGCTTGATGAGGCCTCGAGTCACAATGCATTTGGATTACCTCCTGAAACTGCTGTGCCACATGTACGTGTATAAGAAACTAAATTATGATGATGCAGCAGAAACTGGACGAGGAAGACCATGTTATTAATTTGTTTCTGGTTTTTTGAGATATTTGCTGGGAAAGAATTGATACAGGACTGAGGACAGAATAGACTAAGAGCAGAATCGGGCCATTCAGCCCATCAAGTCTGCTCCACCATTTGATCATTGCTGATACGTTTGTCGATCTGTTCTCCTGCCTTCTCCCTGTAACCCTTGAATCCCTTACTAATCAAGAACCTATCTATCTCTGTCTTAAATACACTTAATGATTTGGCCTCCATTGCTCTCTATGGCAATGAGTTGTACAGAGTCACCAGCTTCTGGCTGAAGAAATTCCTTCTCATCTCAGTTGTACAAGTGTTGTCCCTTCACTCTGAGGCTGTGTCTTTGTGTCCTGATCTCCTCCTAGTGGGAAAACCTTCTCCACGTCCTCTCCATCTGAGCCTCTCAGTATCCTCCAAGTTTCAATTGGATCCCACCTCATCCATCTCAACTCCATTGAGTGCAGACCCAGAATCCTCAACTGCTCCTCATGACAAACCCTTCATCCCCAGTATCATTCTTTATAATACTCCTCTGGATCAGCTCCAGCACTAGCGTATCTTTTCTTAGATGTGGGGCCCAAAACTGCTCTGAACATTTCAATATTTCAAATGCAGTCTGACCAGAGCCTTGCACAGCTTCAGCAGTCCATCTCTACTCTTGGTTTCCTCCCTTTAGAAATGAATGCTAACATTGCATTTGCCTTTCTAACTACCAACTGAACTTGCATATTAACCTTCAAAGTATCCTGAACTAGGATTTCCAAATCCCTTTATGCTTCAGATTTCTGAACCCTTTCCCCATTTAGAAAATAGTCTGTCTGTATTCTTCCTCCTGAAGTGCATAACTTCACACTGTCACATTATATTCAGTCTGCCACTTCTCTGCCCGCTCACCAGCATGTTCAAGTCTTTCTGCAGCCTCCCTGCTTCCTCGACATTACTGTCCCTCCACCTATCTTTGTGTCATCTGCAAACTTAGCAGCAATGCCCTTCATCCAGATTGTTAATGTATAATGTGAATAGCTGTGGTTCCAACACTGACCCCTGCAGAACTCCACTTGTCACAGGCTGCCAGCCTGAAAAAGACTCCATGACCCCTTTGCCTGTTAGCCAATCCTTTATCCATGGCAGTACCTTGCCTCTAATATCATGGGTTCATCTTATTTAGCAACTTCTATGCAGCACCTTGTCAGAGGCTTTCTGGAAATCCAAATAGATCATGTCCACTGACAGTCCTTTGTCCAACTTATTAATTACCTCCTCAAAGCATTCTAACATTTGTAGGGCATTACCACCCCTTGACGAAGTCATGCTGACCCAGCTCTATTTTACCACACACTTCCAACAACACCGCCACCTCATGCTGAATAATGGATTCTAAACCTTACCAAGGTCAGGTTCACCGGCTTAGTTTCCTGTCTTCTGCCTCCCTCCCTTCTTAAACATGGATGTTACATTAGCCATTTCCTATCCTCTCGGACCCTCCCTGACTCCAGTAATGCCTGCAAGATCACCACCAACGCCTTTACAATCTCCTCAGCTATCTCCTTCAGATCTCTGGGGTGTATCCACCCACTCCTGATGATTTATCCACCCACTCCTGATGATTTAT